GGGTCGGTTGTTCAACGACGGTTATAAAACATAAAAATAAAATAAAATCACGCAGAAGAAAGGACATAGAACACAGAAAGAAACATCCATGCCCTGAGCGGGATTCGAACCCGCAACCATCGACTCCGCAGTCAGGCATGCTAACCACTCGGCCACCTGGTAGGTGGTAAAAAATATATATTGTTAAAGATATTAAGCAATAGATGTCGCTGTTGGAGAGGGCAAATGTTCCTTTTTTCCTCATTTCGTTTTTAAAATGTTCTAAAAAGTAGCGTGTTTGTACTGTTTGTATTTTGTGTATGTTCTTATTCGTCATTAAAATGTGTTATCCGTAATTTTGGGTTTTTAGTATCGATTATTTAGTATCCATATACATAAGGCGCTATTGCACTATAAAGCACTATTTTTTACATATATATTTTTTTATTATTTAGAAGAAATTTATAAAAGTATATACATTAGAGGTCATAAATTAATATTTAATTGAGGAAGAAAGAAGTTTTTAGTATGGCCGATCCTCCATTAAGGAAATAAGGCATGTACTTTGTTGATTAAAAAAATTACAGCGACACAGATTATAAAATATTTAAAATAATTCACCATGATTCATAATAAAATTAAACAATTAAAGATAAATATTTTTTATGTGCTATCAACATCTGTCGAATCACTTGTGCGGAAGGCGAAGTGAAAGACACGAAAACTAGTTTGATTGGCTGATGAAATTCGAAGAAATTTTCTAGTAATAGACTTTTGGCTTATTTTTCTTTCCTCCAGCCATCAAAAATATTTCAATGTTTTTAGTCCTGTCTTTCTCTGTAGTGATTCGATTTACACATTAATAAATCATTTTTGTTCCTCGCTTGAATATTAATTTACGACCTTTTATATTAATTTTAATAATTAATTTTTGACCTTGCGTATACCTTTTTTACTTCATTTTTGTCAAAGATTCTGAAAATATACATTAAGGGCAGCCCTAACGAAACACCTTATAAAGAACACAAAGCCTAATCTTATAGAAATAAAAATTTGCATGAATGGAGCCTTAACTTTTCTCTTTTAAAGCCTTAGCTTTTCTCTTTTAAACCCGCCCCTAAAGATTTATCAAGTTTCTACTTTTTGGATAAAGCTATATTTTGTATTTTCACAAAAACCGTGAAATGATTCTAAATTGGCAAGGAGCCGTAATTTTCAAAATATCATTATCTTTGACCCAAATATAGTATAAAAAGCTATTTTCTTTGTTAGAGCTATTGTCTCTAGTCGTGATTTTTTTTAGCCATTTTTTGTAAAAAAATTAAATGCCATGACTTTTGTTGTATTATTTCATAGTTTAATAATTTCCAAATATATAAATTTTTTGTGAGTATAACATACAGAGTTCCTGAAATATCTTATGAGTATAATTGGACTCACAAAAAATAAATAAATAAAAATGAATTTTTTAGAAGTTGAATAAAATATTTAAATTTAGTATTCTTTATTTATCATCGTTTTGCTCATAATTGTAGAAAATATCACAAAAAGCTAGTTTAGTTATTAGATTATCATGTCTGAAGTTATTTATGCTAAATTCATAATTAAATCTTAAATATAATAATATTTATGAATGTAATTTAATATATATGCAATTTAATATAAATGAAATTTAATATAAATGAAATTTAATATATATGTAAATTAATGTATATAATGTAGTACCATCATGTACATAGCTCCAGCTGGCATAACAGGCTTTAGTCCTGGTACTTCTGCGATAATAGAATAGGCCAGAACTGCATTTCTCTAGAAATAAATTTTAAAATTAAATTTCACTGAAATTTAAAAACAATTTAAGAAAAAAAACTAAGTTTATCTAAATTTTACTGACGCACTATTTGGATTCGAATTTTTTGATTGATTTAAACTATATTTTCCGTTCTAATGTGACAAGTGTAAAATACTTTATGCAACAATTCCTTCTTGTTAGTTCTTATAAGAAAACTAACCTTTTTAATTCGGAAAACCAACCAAGTTGGTTCTCAAAAGCAAACTAAAGTATTAACTTATCTTATTAATTCTAAAAAAGAAACTAACATTTTAACTAACCTTGATAGTTTTGATAAGAAAACTAATTTTTTAATTAACCTTTTGTTAGTTTTTGTGTGCAAAACTTGTTAGTTGTAAGCAAACTAACAAGTATTTGCGAAGATCATCATCCATGACCTTTCTAGATTGCTCCGTTTTATTTCTTTGGAGTACTAAATGTTTTGTTGCTGAACATGACTTGGATTTTACATTTTTTCAGATAATTCCTTGTACTAGACAAAGACAAGGGCTATTAAAAAAATCTTAACGGATTTATTTAAAATTTCTAAAAAAAATTGCTGAAAATTTAATTATTGGCTTACTCCATATGGAGATTTGATTTTTCTTGTAATAAAAGAATCGAAAGAAATTAAGATCCTTTCTTCCCCATTCCTACTCGCCCAGAAAGATTAAAATTTGTAAAAGGTACAAAAAAGTACTTCCGCGTAAAAGGCACCAATAGAAGTCTGTCTAGTTTAACATTTAATCCACTTTCTAAGCACATTTTTTCAAATTATTCCTCCTTTTTGTCTTCAAAGCATTTAAAAATAATAATATATATTTTATTTTACGAAATTTTATGACAAGTATTAGTTTAAAAAAATATAATTGTTACTTTAATTCCTTTTTTTAAAAAAAATTCATGCATAAAAACTGATACTTATCTGTTCCGGGAGATCTTAAACAAATTGTACAGATTATTGCAATAATAGTTTTAAAAAAAACATAATTTTTATTTTAATCTTAGTTTAAAGAAATATTCATGCATAAAAATTGGTACTTATCCGTTTCGAAGGACAGAAAAATACTCATTACCCCAGAACTTGCATACCTATATTAATATATTAGGTAGCTTTATTAATATATTAGCTACCTATATTAGTATTTTAAGTGTCTATTACCTATAGCGCCAATAGTAGGGGAGAGTGGGGTCAATTGTAAAATATTTTACTTAACTATTTTTAACTAACAAAAAATAAAATATATTATTAGTATTAATTGACAGACGAGTAAAGTAGACTATCCTCTACTAGAAAAAATAAATAAATATCTTATTTTAAATGTTATTATATTAGTTATTAACAATTTTTGACAGTCGTGCACTTGTTACAATTGCCCCAATTTCGGGGTCAATTGTAACAGTTCGTAAATTCAAGTAAAACATAGTTAATTATACATATTATCATAGTTGTGATATATTTTTTTATTGATCAAAATAGTAGTGATATTTTAGGAGTAAAAATAATAATGAGCAGAGACCTAAAGGGTTAAACTTTTAACTTTAAGGGGCTAAAAATTTTAATTTATGGTGCGAAAGGTGAAAAATAAAATAATGCACATGCAACATAATATAAATGATATAGGAAACTATTGGTAGTTCTTAAAGAGTTAAGTAATGGTTTGTAAACATAAGAAATGGGACCTTAAGGAATGAATTTCATTTTCAGCTGTTACAATCGTCCCCAAGACGCCATTTCAGCTTCATTTGTTAAAAACAATGCTAGTTAATTAACAAAACTAATCTTTTTTTTTGAAATGTTAATTAAGGTGTCCACCTACATATTCGGTTAATAATTTTTATTTAATTAAACAAAATTACTTTGTTGCAATATAATATTCTAATTCCAAAAAAAGTACTTACGTAGCGTGAAAATATCTTTTGTGATGTAACTCTTTCAAAAGTACATAAAAATGGTTGCCAGCAGGGGTGTACATGTAGATTTATTAAATACACCTTGTGCGCCACCTAGGAACCAAATCTAGAACCCGACTAGAACCGATTTTTGCTCTGTTACAATCGTACCCTGTTACAATTGACCCCACTCTCCCCTACTTATTACCACGATTAATTAAATATCACCAGCTTTAATAACAGTATGGTAATTTTTTTGTGCTACCCCCAGTAACGTAAATTACATGAAAATTTCAAGAAAAAATACTGTCTTACAAAAATAAAGAAATATATTTTATTTTCTGTATTCATGTTTTTTTATTTTTGTCAAGAGCTCATAACTCCTTTAACTTTTAAGCTTTAGTTCCCCCAGCAATTTTTAAAAATAGAAATGCCAACTTCTTAAATGTTAGCACCTAATTATTTTTGTGTATTTTCTAGTTATAAGATTACCTGAACGATTTCAATGCAGTCTTCAAAAAATGTTTCTGGAGTGTCCCTTAAAATGGCAGGCAATGCTCCTTGTACAATAGTATTGCTTCCAATGATCCTTTGGCTCAATGCTTGTAGTCCACGGCGGACCTGTAATTTTGAATGTTTATTTGTAGTCAAAATAATTTACTAAAATTACCAATAATAATTATGTCTAGGGTCGTAGTAGCCCAGTGGTTAGAGTACAATAATATTGCTGTTTACAATATATTATTGTTTACAATAGTAATTCTTCCAATGATTCTTTGACTCAATGCGTGTAGTCCACGACGAACCTGTAATTTTGATTGTTTATTTGTACACATGTATAAAAAATAATTTACTACTATTACTACTAATAATAATGTCTAGGGCTGTAGTAGCCTAGTGATTAGAGAATCGGGTGCTTTTTACAATAGTACTGTTTTCAGTGATCCTTTGGCTCAATACTTGTAGTCCATGACCTATTATGAGTAATTTTGAATGTTTATTTGAACACGTGTAATCAAAATAATTTACTACTATTACTACTAATACTAATGTTTTGGGTCCTAGTAGCTCAGTAGTTAGAGAATCGAACGGGATCTGGTTCGATTCTTGACTCCTCTAAAACCTATAGAGTACATGCGATAAACGTGCTCGTAAAATCTGTGCAATCGGAAGTCCCATGGTCAGTCGCTGCGTAGTACCATGGGTACAGGGATCTGGGGAAAATTTCCTTCCCTTTCCGATCTGTGTCTAAACTGAGGAAGTGGTTTCGCGAATGAGTGGTTCTGCCATCTATCCGTGGGGTTCTGAGCTAAGAACGTACTTTCAACCTAGCGGCACTCTCTTGTCTAACGAAAGGCGCACCTTCCAGCTTAATTCACAAAAGGCCAATGGCTGGCGAGCTTGCTGTGTTCAAGTGTCATTATAAAGAACAACATAATAATATACTGCACTTATGTTTCGTTTCTAATTGTTTAATAAAGCATTATTTCTAATAAAAATTAGTAAATGTCTGAAATTTCTCAAACATCCTGTAAAAATAAGATTTTTTTTTGTGAGTATCGATTTCTGGAATTAATATAACATTTACAGGCAGTTTTCAGCCATACATTCTTCACAAATACTTAGTATCAACGCTTAGTAAATCTACATTATAATTAGTTAAGAAAAACTTGGTACAAAACTTATTTATTTTAATAAAAATATAAAAAATTGTTTTAATGAAAATTCATTTTTATAAAGCTGAGAACAAAACAAAGTTAAATTATTTTCCTATTAATATATAGAGAAAACCAAAAGCTTTATATTTACCTCTTTTCCAAATATATTTTGTCTATCATGAATTAAAATCCAACCCATTCTCCATCCTGGCACAAGAAATCTAGATTGTAAATAAAATTTAAAAAAAGATAGATTAAAATTCTACGTTTCTAATGACATATTTAATAATTTACACTTAAATGCTTTAACAAAACGAGGAACCTTCACTTGAATATTTTAGAATTCATGGGGGGAGGTGGAATAATAAATAACTAAACGTTTTCCTTTTTTTATTTAATGATTTTTAAGATCTTATGTCTCCGTCAAGGACATGTTAATAAAAAATAATCATCTGATAGAAAGTCATAAGTTACTTAACCAGAGTTACTCACCACATTAAATAGAGACGGCGATATTTACTTCCTATGTTTTACCAATACTGCTGAATAATGACTTTATCTCTGCTGAATAATTATACGGCTTGTTCTGTAAAACTATTTCCCTGTACAGCATTGAAATACTGTAACAAATACAACATTAAGGAAAGGCAAATTTTCGACTCTTATTTTTTTCGCTATTAATTTTATAACTGGGAAATAAATACATGACTTTGCCTATAAACATTTTCTCAGAACGGCATTAAATTATTGCAGCAAAATTCCACAGTCGGAAGAATGTATAACTTTTTATTATTTGAGGATAAATTTTTTTGTTTCTGAAAAAAAAAAAAAAAAAAAAAAAAAANAAAAAAAAACACTTCAAGTCGGAAAAACTATCTTTTTTTTGGGGGGGGGGGCATTATAGTAAAATTACCTCAAATATTGTTATAAAAAAGGTGAATTTAGTAATGTAGAATAAAGTAATTTAGATTTTATTTATTTGCCTAATTTAAAATTTTGGAAAAAAAAATACTAGTTTTTGCTAAATAATTTACTTTAAAAATATTTTTAGCAAAAACAAAATCAATTTTCGACAGCTTAAATAAAAATAAAGCAAAAAATTTTATACAGTTAAATGAACAATAATAAATTTTTAAGTATATATTTCCAGCAAATATAGTTTACTGAAATAAAAAATGACTCTTTTATATTCAAAGTACGCAAACAAACATGGCCCTAGCATTAAGTATTTATCAACATTCAAAAATCTAAGCAATGTCTCAAAAATATAAATAGAACTCAGACAAACTTTTTTGTTAATCCGCCGCAAGACAGAATTGGAACATCAGTCGATAGAGACGCAATGGGATAAAACACTTGTCCACGGAAAACCTAAAAATAAAATAAAGATTTAAAAATTGGAATCAATCCATAAAACGTATTCCTTTTGGCCATCATTTAAGAAAGAATCAAAAAGAACATTTTTTTCCTTTGAATAATAAATACAGTTATAGTGTTGGTGATTCTTTTTTCGTATTTCAGAACTGATTATTTATAGCATAAGTCGGTTATCGAAGATATAGCATCCGGTTAAAGTCATATAACCTGGTGCAAAACTGCACAGAATTAGTAAAAATGTTTAAAGGGTTCCAATTCAGTCAGTATTTGAAAATTTTGTAGTAAGCGATGTTCAGTTGGAAAAAAATAGAACACCTTCGGACGTTTGATATATTAATAGAGCACATTTTTATAACTAGGTTCCAATCATCGTGGTCAGAGTTGTGGTGGCTCAGGGGCGAGCGCTCGCCTCCCAATGAGGTGTCCGAGGTTCGAATCTAGTTCGGTAGCTGGTCGATATGAATTCTGCACTCGGCTCACATCGACCACAGTGCTGATGTAAAATATCCCCAATTGTAGACGGATCATGGGTCGGATCATAGAGTCCCCTTGCCGTGAGGCTAACTGTGGGTGGTTTTCGCGGTTTTCCTCTCTACGTAACACGAATACGGGTTAGTTCCATTAAAAAGTCCTCCACGAAGGCTAGTTTCTCCTAATGCTTGTTCCAGGAGCTCCTTTGTCTTCTGGGTTGGGTTCAAAATTACAAGGCTACGGAATTGAACATTAATAGTTGTAAACTCAGAATTGAGTCGGGTGTAAAACGCCGATTATAAAATAAAATAAAAAATCATTGTGGTTATCTAGTACAGACTAATTAGGCAGTTGATTTTAACAATTAAATTAATTTAGATAAATAAACTCAAATGTTTTTGGGAGGATTTGGTTTCTTGAAAATAGGTAAAGCTAGCTTTACATTCTTTTTAATTTAACTTTTCAAGAAACAATATGTGTCACTCCGATATTTTTTTAATTTTATTTTTAAACTTTTTTTCTTCTTTTCAGCAGTATTTTCAAAATAATATTTAGTTGGAACACGTTTTGTCAATTGTTTTATTTTAGCACAGTACGCGTATTGCGATAAACTCGTCTTCATTGAAAGAATTTTTGGCGTAATTAAACTGTATTTTCGTAGCATTGAAAAACGCACTCATCCTAACGGTGATTGGATTGAAGCGACAAGGAAATGAGAAAAAAAAATTTATTGATATTTTTGAAATGAAAAAAAAGAAATTAAATGTATGGCAATGTTAATAAACCACTCTAAATAATGATATGCATCAGCTTGCATAATGATATAAAAATTAAATAATAACATGATCTTGTATACATTAAAGAGATTTCGGAGCATTTTTCCCATTGACACTTTTAATCAGATGAACAAGTCAATCGCTAAACTGACTTTATAATAAACTCCACTGAAACTCATTTAATTCAGGACACGTTTCGCTCTTTTTCATTCAAAACTTTATAATCACAACCACAAATAACTGAAAATTTATCAGATGATTGTTTGTACTGAACTAAACTTTCAAACGATATATCATAAAATTTACTTTCTCATATTAAGTTGAAAATTAAAAAAAAAAAAAACGAAACGCTAAAAGAAACGCTTGAGGGGCAATAGTTTAGGAAGATCTACCTTATCTAAGTTGCGTAAAAAAATATTCATTTGATGAATTTTTTATATTTTTTTATAACTGTCGTTGGACAGCCGACCCAAATTTCGGGTTTGCGACTACTAATGTCCAACTACGTAGCCTTGTAATTTTGAACCCCATCCAGAAGACAAGGAAACTCCTGTATCGAGTATTGGGAGAAATTTACCTTTGTGGAGGACTTTTCGATGCAACTAACCCGGATTTGTATTATATGGAGAGGAAAACCACAAGAGGCTCCCACGGTTAGTCTGACAGCAAGGGGACTCTAACTCATTATCCGCCTACCACTGAGAATATTTCACGTCAGCACTGTGGTCGGTGCAAACCGGATGCGGAATTCGTATCGACCAGCCATTTGCCGGGATTCGAACCTGATTCACCTCATTGGAAGGCGAACGCTCTATCCTCTGAACCATCGCTGCTCATTTGATGAATTTTGAAGAAAGAAAAAACATCACCAAGAATGTATCTTGTTTTAAATTTTTATGGACAAGGAGAAGAGGTCTCCCTGGCAGAGCGATATCGCCCGCCAAACGCTGTGCGAAACGTGGAGGTGGCGGGTTCGAATCCCGCCCTTCGTGACGTCCTTCTCTGAATTGTTCTATCTGTCCTTCTACTTGACAAAGGCTTATAAGCCTAAATTGAGCAGACGAGCCTGAAAATGTATGTAATTTCTATAAAGCAACAAAGCAAGGAGAAGCAACATCAACTGTACATAATTGTTCGTAAAGTTAGACAAATTTCTCATGCAAAAACTAAGTGATCTTGTGAATTTCAGTCAGTCATAAGGCTGTTTAGTTAACAATATATGTGTTACTACTAATATTGGAACATTGCATCATTATCAGCATATTAGGAATAGCTTTAATTTTGACAGATAGTCATGGTTCTTTATATGAAATTAATCGATAATTTTTTTTCTTAGCTTTTATAAATTTTACGACATTTACGTGATTGCATGAAGATGACAGTAGCAATATTAATGTGATAAAAAAACATGCATAGAGAGTTGAGAACCTTTTTGCTTTTTGTTCAGCACAGAGAAGAGAATTTTTCCAATAACTTCAAAAGTAGAGCTGCAGTCGATCTTAACATCAATCAGGAACATCATCAGTTACTTCAGATAATTGTCTAAGTCCTCGTTTTTTACAGAATTAAAATCGACTTGTTTCAATTTATTAGTACATTCTTGTATATTAATGTAATCGTATTGCATTTAAATGTGCGACTAATGTTGCCATCTGACTGCAATCATTAAAAGTATGAAATTAATAACAAACTGAACTCCATTAATTAAAGTAAAAAAATTAATTAAATGTAGGAATATATGACAAAATAAAAATATTAGATCTTACAAAGTCTTCGTAAATTTCATCTGCAATTATTGGCACACATCTTCTGGCAGCTACACCCAAAATGGCTTCTAAATGATACTTTGGAAATACAGAACCACAGGGATTCGAAGGATTGTTAATGATGATGGCAACTGTTTGACTATCGATTTGGCTTTCAAGATGGGCTAAATCCACCTGCCATCCATGATTTGGCTAAAAAGGAAAGAACAAGAAAATATCGTCATCACGATCCTTGAGAAAATTATCGGAGCAGATGAAAAAAATTCCATGCTTTTTTTTAAAAAAAAAAAACTTCCTGCATCAAAATATTAAGAACAGTTAATAAGAAAACGCTAATTCTTTTGAATATTTTTTGAGCAAATTAGGATGAAATTTAAACTAAATGACTTTCGATGGAGTGTAGCGAATTAAGGAACTTGATACAAGAATCAGGTAAATCCAAATTTTATTCTTTTTTCTTTATTCTTGATAATAGCTTATACAACTTTTCTTAATACTTTTTGACCCCCACCAATTAATTATAAATCTGAACTAACCTTGTCTTTGTCATTTCAACTTCGATTAACCTTGTCATTTTAAATAGATAAACGAGAAATAAAAATTCGATATATCGCTCATGGGCTGCAATGGCGGCGTAACTCAAAAAATCATGTTTTGAGATAAGTGGGTTTATAATTATCATTGCTAAGGAAAATGCTAAAGAAATGCTTTAGTTTGCTTAAACGAAGATTACCTTCAAGTTAAATTGTGAATTGTGCTAGTATTGCTGTTGAAAGAATGTGTATTTTCATATTTACATCTGTTCTTAGTCCAAAACGCGTGTTTTTTGAGTTGTGCCACTTGCGCAGCTTATGAGAGATATATAAGAAAATTAAAATTAAAAAATAACTTTTTTTTCATTCGCAAAGTTGTTATTCATTGGTTCTGTTCGCTTAAGTCAGATATACTTCAACTTCAAGATCAAAGTGTATCAACTTTCGAATCCTTACAAAATACTAAATGCGTTTCATGATTGCTTGCTTTTTTATTTCAAGAAATCTCTCTTTTCTACTGCACTGATCTTTTAAAGTCTGTAAACATTTTAAAAGGTGGGTTCCTCCTTTCTTCACTTTTATTACCTGCATTTGCTTAAGTTCCACACATGCTCTGTCATAAAATGAAGAATAATAAATACATTATGCCACAAATAAAACGGCATTCAACTTCAATGCCACGCCAAACAGAAAACTGTCGCCAAGACTGATCAGGATGGAAAAGTAACTGTGCAATATTTTCACGTGTTCAAAAAGATGCTGTTAGTTTCAAAATGCTGAACCAACTGTCCAATCACCCGCATCAACCCTATCTTTCTTTTTAGAAGTTTTTAAAGCTGATTTCCAAGACTCCCGAATTCCAAACTTGTCCCTTACGGGCTTGTTTCTATGGTGATATTTAGAAAACTGTTGCATCTGTAAGTTGCTCGATATCCATTACCGAAAGTAATTCGAAAATTTAAAAACAAATCGAAATCCCTCAAATTTCGGTAAATATCCCCGATAATCTTGTTAAGCAAGGTGTCTCAATGTTGGTAATTTGTCAACTGATAAATCACGAGAATTCATCATTTCTTGTAATTTGTGTTCATTAAACATTCTTTTTCTCAGTTTTCCATATTTCATTTTTCTGGGCTGCGATTTATTTGGGACATGCTGTATCATGGTGGGTAAGGTGGGTAAAAAACGACTTTATACTAACTCATGGTACTTACCAAAAGGTCGTATGCTTTTGTTTCAATGCCCATAGACTCGGCAATAGTTCTGTAAATTGAAAATCCAGGTCGAGGTATCAAAATATTTTGGCCTGGGTTAGCCAAACCAATAATGCACATTTCCAAAGCATGAGAACAACCACTTGTGAGAATGACATCCTGGAAAACAAGCAATAAACTTGATCTAGTTAAGAAAGACATTTTTTAATATTTTAAACGAAAAGGAAGGATTGAAATTATTAAAAAAGAAGAAAATAGTAAATTAACAAAACTTTCATTTCGCATAAAAGAATTTTTTTTTTATGCGGAATGAAAGTACATTTAAAAGGATTTATTTCAAATATTTTAAACAATTGCTCAAAAAGGTTCGTGTATTTACTGTATAATTGTGTTGACATTTTATTTTGTTGGTTCATACTTTATATTTAAATAAACGACATGATTTATGAAATCAATTTGAGTTTTTAAATTCATAATAGTTTATGACGTTATTCTGTATATAGAGCTATATGAGTATATATTTAGAGAGAATTCTAGTACTAATACAAAACGAGGTTGCGCAGTTAATAAACAACAAAATAATTTTGTGTAGCCTGGTGTTTGTATGTTCACATAAAAGTAGATATGCACCTAAATTACCAAAAAATCTCCAAGGTGGGCGCTACACTGCGGGAGAAACTTTTCATACCCAATTCTGTTTCAACCTCCATTTTATAGTAGAGAAATGCCAAATGCCGAAGAAATATTTATAAAATAAAAAATGGGAATAAATTATGACTGGGTTATTATCCCACCGCATAATCCTGCCATATTTTCTTTACATTTTGATATTTAGAAAGAAAAAAATGTTAAATGTTTACTCTAGACGAACTTACATTTCTCCAAGCTTCAAATTTTAAATTGCTTTTGTGGGTGAAAGAAAATTTTCAATTAAGCGTTTCTTTCTTGATACAGCGTCCTTTTAACCCAGTTTGGAACAACGAATTTCAATTGAAAATTTCAGACGCTCAGGACAAAGAATGTGAGTAATGTCTTATATATTCTTTGGTCAAGACATTATAGCAAGTGCGATCTTTAGACAAGGAGAAGTGACAAGTCTTTGTTGTTTAAAGAAAGGTAAACGTTTAAAAGCAATTATTTTTACATTTCTAGCGGCTTCTAATATTTGAGTGTTGTCTACAAGAGTTAAACTAGATTATTTTATTCTACCATTATGCAATCTTTTGGGAAACGTGCACAATTTTCAACTTCATTTACGAAAAGACTAGAACAAACTGACATTTCAATCGCTGATTGATCCTGACCTTCGTGATATGATTTTGATTGATTTAATTTGGCATGAATAGTGGCATCATCAACAGTAACGATTTTGAAACATTATATTCTTTTCAGTGATTCTGCGTTATCACGATAAATATCTAAGAGCGACGAAGGTCAAGTTAAAAGTGGTATGATTTCTGACATAATCGTTTGTCGTTTCTGCAACAATCCAGAAGATGCCAAGGAGAAGAATATTTTCTTCGTTCCGTACTGTGTCTCATCAAATGAAAGCTTACGAGTCATTATCCTTATTAATGTTATTTCACATGTGCTTCCGAGATAATCTCGACGTAGAATCTGTTATCTTATCATGTTAATCTCAATGTTTCTTAACTGTGGTCTGTTGATGAAAGTTTGATACTTACGAAAGTTTGAAGATTTGTTTTTGTGTAAAATATTTTTATTTAAGACATTAAAGACCATAGATTATTCGATACACGTGAGTCCACGTGACTTTCGTTTATGTAGCAAAGCAGTTCATTTGATTTTCTTTGAAATGTATATTTTAATTCCATCATTGAGACTTTATTTGTACGCTTATCTCAATGAAATTAGCGCTTTCCCCCCCTTTTGTTTAGTTTTCTTTCTAGGCAGCTCATTTGTTCAATTTTTTTAATATGTGTATTTTATTTACATCATTGAAATGTTATTTTTACGCAAGTCTAATATGAAATATTTTTTTTCTTCTTTCCGGCGTCTTTTCGTGTTCATACTGAGTCACAGCTTTTCTAAACGGCAATCAGTTGATGGATCTATGATACTTACGAAAGTTTTTAGCTTTGTTTTTGTGTAAAATGCTTTTATGTAAGACCACACGAAATAAGAAAAGCATAGATTATTCGATACAGGATTCCTCGTGACTTTTGTTTAGTTTTCTGGGCAGTTCATTTGATTAATTTTATTTGATATGAGTATTTTATTTACATCATTGAAACGTTATTTTTACGCATGTCTAATATGAAATATTTTTTTCTTTCCGTCGTCTTTTTGTGTTCATACTGAATCACAGCTTTTCTAAACGGCGGCCAGTTGATGGATCTATGATACTTACGAAAGTTTTTAGCTTTGTTTTTGTGTAAAATGTTTTTATGTAAGACCACACGAAATAAGGAAAGCATAGATTATTCGATACGGGTGATTCCTCGTGACTTTTGTTTAGTTTGCAAGGCAGTTTATTTGATTAATTTTCTTTGATATGTGTATTTTATTTACATCATCATTAAAAAGTTATTTTTATGCATGCCTCGTATATGTCAATGAAATATTTTTCTTCTTCTTTTCCTTTCGGCGTTTTGTGTGTGTGTGTGTGTGTGTGTGTGTGTTTATATTGAGTGACAGCATTTCTAAAATGCAGTATGTTGATAGAGTTATGATACTTACGAAAGTTTTTAGATTGGTTGTGTAAAATGTTTTTGTACGACCTATCACGAAATAAGGAAAGCATAGATTGTTCGATACGGGTGATTCCACTTGATTTTTTGTTTTTGTAGCAAGACAGTTCATTTTAATAATTTTATTTGATATTTGTATTTTTGTTACATCATTGATTATATTCAATTGGTTACATTTATTTTCTCGCACATCGCAACGAAATAATAACTTTGTTTTCCCTTTTAGGCGTATTTTTGTGAACAGCGTTTTTAAACGGTGGTCAGTTGATGGAAGTATGATAATTACGAAACTTTTTAGATTTGTTTTTGTTTAAAGTGTTTTTTACAGACCTCCCGAAATAACGAAAACATAGATTACTCAATACAAGTAATTACACGTGATTTTCGTTAAGTTTGCAAGTCAGTTCATCAGACAAATTTTCTTTGCTATGCGTGTTTTAGTTACATCATAGAAACTTTCTACAGTTGTCCGAGGGCTTATAATATTTCCCATGTGTTGGACATAAAACAATAATTTTTCAATTAATTTGAGTTTTAATCTCCATGGATTAAAGAGTATTAGAGAAAGACTAGGGCATAAGATAAATCGGGTGATGACAGTGGTCAAATTATGTAATTTTTAGAAGAGTTATGTGAAATTAAGATTAACAGAAAAGGTTTATATTTCAGCCCTGAGCAGTGGTTGCTCAGGGGATAGAGTGTCCGCCTCCCAATGAGGTGAACCCAGTTCGAATCCCAGTCATGGCTGATCGACACGAATTCCGCACCCGGCTCGCACTGACCACAGTGCTGACGCAAAATATCCTCAGTGGTAGACGGATCATGGGTTAGTGTTCTCTTACTGTCAGGTTTACCGTGGGAGGATTTCGTGGTTTTCCTCACCATGTAGCGCTAATGCGGGTTAGTTCCATCAAAAGTTCTCCATGAAGGCAAAATTTCTCCCAATACTTGATCAAGGAGTTCCCTTGTCTTCTGGATCGGGTTCAAAATTACAAGTTGAACATTAGTAAACCCTAGATTGGGTCTGCTGTTCAACGACGGTAATATAATATATATTTCAGCCCTGGGGATATATTAAGAAGAGCAGCTAGTAACGGCCAAAGTGAGTTTAAATCACGTCGTAATACTTGGAAAATAAATTGTTAAGTAATTTTTTGAGGGTTGGTGAGCGTAATCGAGCAAGTATAGTTGAACCACCTCTCCCCATTTTAAAGTATATCTAAGAAAATTAATCATAAAAGTATAACTAACTTCTGGTTCGAGAACTGCATTTTCTCTTGAAGCATATTCAGCCACTGCAATTCTTGATTCCCGATATCCTGAAAAATATATAATTAAATAATTAATAAAGTTATCTTTTATTGATAAAGAATCTTTACTTTTATCAATCAGTAACATATTAGACAAGTTCCTTACTCGACTCTAATAATAAATATTGCATTGGCAACTGAAATAGAGGCATAGTTCTACATCAACGTTTCCCAATGTTTTTCGACAATGGAACCCTAAATAACTAACCTTCTTGCTTTGGTATTTTAATTACTTACTTATATCAATGTAGTACTTGCTTATGTAAAATTACCTTTCATTCGGACAACTCTTTCTAGATTATTATTTTTATGACAACGAGTACACTAACTTAATAATATGAATGAAATATTTTAATCGTTTTATGATCAATAAAGTCAAATTAGGGTAACTAAATCTAGTCTAGTAATAAATTTCTCTTTTTGGTGCATATACATAAGATGAAAATTAGTAAAACAAGCCGAATTATGGTTTTCTTGAAATAAAAATGAAAAAGAACTGCTGTGAACGTCGAAAAAGTTTATTACGGAAATATATTTCCTTGTTAATTAATTCAGTTATTTCATTTTGATTTAAAAAACGTAGCGGGAAACACGAATGCACTATCTTATATATGCATGTCCTTTTCATTATTTATTCAGTATATTGTTGCTAGAAAAGTTATATTTTAAAATATTTTCACAATTGTCATTGGTATTTTGCTTTAAAAATAATTTTATACAAGCAACTAGAATAGTAATTAAATAATGGATTATTAATTGAATCTAAGTATAATTAAAGGTTTCAAAAATCATTTCTGAATAAGCAAAAAAAGCCCTACTTTCGGAATTCCCTTAACTTTTCCATGGAACCCTATAAGGCTCCGCTGAACACTATAATTTGCAAATTATGGAGATTTTCTTTAATTAAGGAAAGAAAGTACATCATATTTGTATTTTTAAAAAGTGAAAATTAATTACCGGTTGATGGTGCATATCCATTGTAATCCATAGAAGTGACGCTTTCGATGACTGCTGATGTGATTTCTTCGCATGGTTTTAAATTTCCGAAAATAGTTGGATCACCTGCAAGGAAATTTCACAGCGCATTGAAAAGAATGAAGGAGGTGCTATAGAATGTTTAGTGGATGAAGGAGGTGCTATAGATTTTTTAGTGGATGAAGGAGGTGCTATAGATTTTTTAGTGGATGAAGGAGGTGCTATAGAATTTNCAGCTTTTCTAAACGGCGATCAGTTGATGGATCTATGATACTTATGAAAGTTTTTAGATTTGTTTTTGTGTAAAATGTTTTTATGTAAGATCACACGAAATAAGGAAAGCATAGATTATTCGATACAGGATTCCTCGTGACTTTTGTTTAGTTTTCTGGGCAGTTCATTTGATTAATTTTATTTGATATGAGTATTTTATTTACATCATTGAAACGTTGTTTTTATGCATGTCTAATATGAAATATTTTTCTTCTTCTTTCCGGCGACTTTTTGTGTTCATACTGAGTCACAGCTTTTCTAAACGGCGATCAGTTGATGGATCTATGATACTTATGAAAGTTTTTAGATTTGTTTTTGTGTAAAATGTTTTTATGTAAGATCACACGAAATAAGGAAAGCATAGATTATTCGATACAGGATTCCTCGTGACTTTTGTTTAGTTTTCTGGGCAGTTCATTTGATTAATTTTATTTGATATGAGTATTTTATTTACATCATTGAAACGTTGTTTTTATGCATGTCTAATATGAAATATTTTTCTTCTTCTTTCCGGCGACTTTTTGTGTTCATACTGAGTCACAGCTTTTCTAAACGGCGATCAGTTGATGGATCTATGATACTTATGAAAGTTTTTAGATTTGTTTTTGTGTAAAATGTTTTTATGTAAGATCACACGAAATAAGGAAAGCATAGATTATTCGATACAGGATTCCTCGTGACTTTTGTTTAGTTTTCTGGGCAGTTCATTTGATTAATTTTATTTGATATGAGTATTTTATTTACATAATTGAAACGGTATTTTTTCGCATGTCTAATATAAAATATTTTTATTCTTCCTTCCGTCTTCTTTTGGTGTTCGTTCTGAGTCACAGCTTTTCTAAACGGCTCTCAGTTGATGGATCTATGATACTTACGAAAGTTTTCAGATTTGTTTTTGTGTAAAATGTTTTTATGTAAGATCTCGCCAAATCAAGAAAGTATAGATTATTCGATACGAGTAATTCCACGTGACTTAATGTTTAGTTTGCAAGGCAGTTCATTTGATTTGATCTGTATTTTATTTACGTCATTAAAATGTTATTTTTATGCATGGCTCGTATTTGTCAATGAAATAATTTTTTTTTCTTTTCGGCGTTTTTCTTGTGTTTATATTGAGTCACAGTATTTCTAAACAGCTGTCACTTGATAGGTTGATGATACTTACGAAAGTTTTTAGATTTGTTGTGTAAAATGTTTTTGTACAACCTATCACGAAATAACGAAAGCATAGATTGTTCGATACGGGTGATTCCACGTGATTTTTGTTTTTGTAACAAGACAGTTCATTTTAATAATTCTATTTGAAATTTGCATTTTGGTTACATCATGGATTACATTCAATTGGTTACATTTATTTTCACGCTCATCGCAAAGAAATAATAACTTTGTTTTCCCCTTCAGGCGTATTTCTGTGCACAGCGATTTTAAACGGTGGTCAGTTGATGGAAGTATGATAATTACGAAACTTTTTAGATTTGTTTTTGTTTAAAATGTTTTTACATCAGACCTCCCGAAATTATAAAAACAAAAATTATTCAATACATGTAATCCCTCGTGATTTTCGTTAAGTTTTCAAGGCAGTTCATCAGATAAATCTTCTTTGCTATGCGTGTTTTAGTTACATCATAGAAACTTACGAGGGTTTATAATATTTCCCATGTGTTTAAACCCATATATTAGACATAAAATAATAATTTTTCAATTGATTTGAGTTTTAATCTCCATGGATTAAACAGTATTGGAGCAGAGCTAGGGCATAAGATAACTCAGGTGATGCCCATGGTCAAATTATGTAATTTATTAGAAGAGTTATCTGAAACTTAAGAATAGAAAAAAAGAGGTTTATATTTCAGCTCTGAGCCGTGGTGGCTCAGGGGATAGAGCGTCCGCCTCCCAATGAGGGGAATCGGGTTCGAATTCCAGCCATGGCTGGTAAATAAGAATTCCCGGTTCGCACTGACCACAGTGCTGATGTAAAATATCCTTAGTGGTAGATGGATCATGAGTTAGAGCCCCTTGCTGTCAGGCTAACCGGGGGAGGTTCTCTTGGTTTTCCTCTCCATGTAACGCAAATGTGGGTTAATTCCAGCAAAAAGTCCGCCACGAAGGCAAAATTTCTCCCTACACTTGATCTAGGAGTTCCCTTGTCTTCTGGATTGAGTTTAAAATTACAAGGCGTAACATTACATTAACATTGCAGAGTTAAACATTAGTAGCCGTAAACCCTAGATTGGGTCGGTTGTTCAACGACGGTAATATAATATATATTTCAGCGCTGGGGATATAGTAACGGGATGAAGAGGAGCTAGTAACGACCAAAGTGAGTTCAAATCACGTCGTAATCCTTAGGGGAAAAAATTTTGTTAAATAATTTTTTGTGGGTTGGTGAGCGTAATCGAGCAGGTAGATTAACCACCTCTCCCCATTATAAAGTATGTATGAGAAAATCAACCAGAAAAGTAGAACTAACTTCTGGTTCGAGAATTGCATTTTCTCTTGAAGCATATTCAGCCACTGCAATTCTTGATTCCCGATATCCTGAAAAATATAAAATTAAGTAATTAATAAAGTTATCTTTTATTGATAAAGAATCTTTACTTTTATCAATCAGTAAAAATAACTCTTACATATTAAGACAAGTTCCTTACTCGACTCTAATAATAAATATTGCATTGACAACTGAAATACAGGCATAGTTCTACATCAACGTTTCCCAATGTTTTTCGACAATGGAACCCTAAATAACTAACCTTCTTGCTTTGGTATTTTAATTACTTACTTATATCAATGTAGTACTTGCTTATGTAAAATTACCTTTCATTCGGACAACTCTTTCTAGATTATTATTTTTATGACAACGAGTACACTAACTTAATAATATGAATGAAATATTTTAATCGTTTTATGATCAATAAAGTCAAATTAGGGTAACTAAATCTAGTCTAGTAATAAATTTCTCTTTTTGGTGCATATACATAAGATGAAAATTAGTAAAACAAGCCGAATTATGGTTTTCTTGAAATAAAAATGAAAAAGAACTGCTGTGAACGTCGAAAAAGTTTATTACGGAAATATATTTCCTTGTTAATTAATTCAGTTATTTCATTTTGATTTAAAAAACGTAGCGGGAAACACGAATGCACTATCTTATATATGCATGTCCTTTTCATTATTTATTCAGTATATTGTTGCTAGAAAAGTTATATTTTAAAATATTTTCACAATTGTCATTGGTATTTTGCTTTAAAAATAATTTTATACAAGCAACTAGAATAGTAATTAAATAATGGATTATTAATTGAATCTAAGTATAATTAAAGGTTTCAAAAATCATTTCTGAATAAGCAAAAAAAGCCCTACTTTCGGAATTCCCTTAACTTTTCCATGGAACCCTATAAGGCTCCGCTGAACACTATAATTTGCAAATTATGGAGATTTTCTTTAATTAAGGAAAGAAAGTACATCATATTTGTATTTTTAAAAAGTGAAAATTAATTACCGGTTGATGGTGCATATCCATTGTAATCCATAGAAGTGACGCTTTCGATGACTGCTGATGTGATTTCTTCGCATGGTTTTAAATTTCCAAAAATAGTTGGATCACCTGCAAGCAAGTTTCATAGCACATTGAGAAGAATGAATGAGGTGCTATAGAATTTTTAGTGGATGAAGGAGGTGTTATAGAATTTTTAGTGGATGAAGGAGGTGCTATAGAATTTATAGTGGATGAAGGAGGCGCTATAGAATTTTTAGTGGATGAAGGAGGCGCTGTAGAATTAAGTGAAACAGTACTATAAATAAAAAAGTGAATAGTTGTCGCATGAACTTTCCAGTTCTTAAGGGGAGTCGGTAGGGATATACCAATACAAGCTAAAACTGACCTTTTATGATGTACTTTTTCTCAGCATCTTAACAAGATATTGATTCAGTATTTTTCACAGAATATCATATTTACACTGTGATAACTGTTACTGATTATCTTAAGAAATTTTTTTTAAAAATTATGAACTGAGCAAAAATTTTGAGCAAAAATCTTTCACAATTCAAAAAGCATACCTGTTAAATCTAAAACACAGTATACAACTGAAATAATCTCAAATATCCACAAAAAAATTTCAAAGCGATATCGCAGGTAGTTTCTTAGAAAAAGGAACATCGAAAAAGGTCAATTTTAGCATTATTGTTGTATACCCTACGAACTCCCCTTAAACACTTAAATATATTAAGTTAAAGAGACACTAATAGCTTGAAAGTTGTATATGAAGATATGGAAGATTTTACAATCAATTTTATCTTAGCTCTAGTAAGACGCAAAATTGGCCCCAAAAATGTTCTAAAAAGGAGGGTCAATCACGGAACCGATATTAGAAAACCTAGATTTTGGCAACAATGGATCTAAATAGGGTTGGACAATTATATGTACCTAGTTGCTAACTTACTCAGTCGTTGCGAAAGAGTAGTTGTATAAGAATATATAAAGTATTAATAGTTTAAAGATATTAATAGCATTGATAGTTTCTAAAATGTAAATTACTTCGGCAACACTCAGAAGCATAATTTCCTAGCTATTATATATCTAATATACATTAATTAAATTATTGATTTGTCATGATAGGGGAAAACAATTTAAGATTTAACATTTAAAATTAAGATTTATAGGTTAAAACATGAATGCTAGCCCTAAGAAAGATTTTTTTTTCTCAGCCCTTTTTTTTCTCAGCCAATAGTATTTAAACTTTAAAAAAAAAAAAAAACCCCTCTTAATAAGACATTTTAATTGGGTATTTTTGGAATCACAATCAACCGAGGTCAGAAACTGTTCTGAAAGTACTTGTCCCGCAGTGGACTGATCGTTAAGACGCGGTTCCCAGCAGATCGCCGAAATCAAGCAACACTGGCTGCTGTCAGTGTGCGGGTGGATGACCACTTGGATTAGTCTGCGTAGGCACCGAGGGTGTCCGGCATTGGTCCTCGTTAATCTGTTCTACCGTAAAGTGCTCGACTTCGCATGCATGTCGTCGAGCTACCGTCTCCCCTCTGCAGAGGATCAAAATTGTGACGGCATGTCTTCAGATCATCCTCAGGGATGTTTCTCGGACTATCGCCAATAGCCCATTATGCAGCTCTAGTGTGACGTAAATGAACTACAGCAACAACTAAAAGTATTTTCTACTCCTAAAAATAATTTCGTTCTCATTTGAATTAAAAATAAAGTATCCCTCCATAATAAGAAATGGCATGGGCTAATGTTACATTTTGTTTGTTGCGCAAAAACTATAAGACTATGTTGATTTATAATATAATTCGAAAATCTTTGTAAAACCAGGAATGGCAACAACTGAAAGAGCGGGTAAGAAACAGCAACACATGCTGTGGTTTCGCGGTAATATTCTTGTTAGTGTTTGTGTATTATTCCTTAATAAATATTTTATTTGTTACACAAAGTAATTAATTACTATGTTATAACCACATTGGTGATCCAGACGTGATATGAACTCGCCTACCCTGAAAGTAACGCCTACTTCGATGGACAGTAAACCTTGTAGAGTTGATTTGCTATTTCTGACTGCGACATTGTTTTCCTCACGGTGTTGCTGCTTAGTTTCAGTCGCACACGACGGGAGCCTGCACACATTCGATTGCTAATAGCAACACAGCATAAAACAGCTCTAACCACCAGCGCTCAAAGCCCGGTAATCTTAATACAGCTCTCCCGGAAAACAGCAATAAATCTACTTTTGGTATCCGTTCCATCGAATTCTATCACAGATAAAATTCTGGTGGGGGAGTAATGAATTTCTAAGGTGCGTAGAAAAGTGAACAGGGATTACGATATAATAAAAAAAATCATAACATTTGATAATTAGTTCGAGAATTTTTTTGGAAAAAATACCTTACTGTCAGCTTTACTAACCGCAATAATAAAACTACAGAGCATGCTGAAAGAGCTATATTTGCTTATAAATTTATAACAGAATTTTTTTTCGAAATCCCAATTTGTTTGAAAATTATTGCACCTTTAAAATTCTTTTTTGTTAATTTTTTTTTTTACTTTTCTTTTTTAGTTACATTTTGTGCTTTGCTACTCAAAATCTATATAAATCGAAAAAAAGAAAGAATTAATGGGCTTACTGATACTGCATTTCTTAATTTTGTTTATCACGCCACTCAAAATATTTTCATTTCGTTGCTCCCAATAATAAACTGCTTTATCAGAAAAAGGGTGAAAAGAATTGTGGTCATACTGAACATTTCATTCCTTTCAAGATATAGCAGACTTCAGTTTCGTTATCAAGTTTTGTCGCTATCAACAAGAATCTGCATCGCGGGGAGTTAAGTTGAATACTAAAGTAGCAGATTCCTGGGTCATGTTTGATTAAATGACTCCAGTTATGTCTGTAAGAAAAAGAATGTGTCTGAAAAGAAAAATGATAAAAAACCTCAAACATTTATCAATCATCATTTTGATTATATTGATAGAAAGAAACCCTAAGGAAAAGAGGTTGCGTATTCAGAAGCTTTCATTATTAGTGAGTATACTTAAGAGCAAACAGGAAAATAAACTAAGACTAACAAAATTATTTATACTGGCTAAATTATTAGACGTAGTATAAGATTCTATGTAAAATCTTAATTATCAGGGGATACTATACAGCATTACTGTTTTTAGACTGCTGAAACCTGTTTATACTTATTTTTGTTCGTGTATCGATTTGTTGACATTGCAATACATTACGTTAAATATAAATAGAAACAGGAAGCATATAAAAAATCTCCCTAATAAAAACCCATTACACGTAGGGGAGAGTCGGGTAGCCCCGCCCAGCGGGTACCCCCGCCCACAGTCAATTTCATGTGTATAGAATACTTTTTCAAGTCAATGGGCCATCGGACATTAATTGTTGTATTAAAAAAAGATTATTTTCAAAGTTTAAAGTATTTATGCAGCTGTTAACATGGTAAACAATAGTTTTGAAAATATGTTGAATACAGTAGTCATGAAATTAAGAAAAATTGGTTGAATGTTTCGATTAAACTTCATTTTAATACTAAAAAAATAATTTTTTCTATACATACAGCATTAAAGTATGTAGTCTTAAGTTTAATTTGCACAAAGAAAGAAGT